TGAAATACATATATATTATGAAATGATTACCACAATAAGGTTAGTTAACACATCTATTACCTCACATAGTTACCATTTATTTTTTGTGGTGAGAACTTTTACGATCTACTCTCTTAGCAACTTGCAAGTATACAATACAGTATTGCTAACCAAGGTCACCGTGTTGTACATTAGATCCCCAGAACTTATTCATCTTATAACTGGAAGTTTGTACCCTTTGACCACATCTCCCCACTTCCCACATCCCCTAGCCCCTGACAACCACCAATATACTCTCTGTTTCTATGAGTTTGGCTTTCTTAGATTCCACATACAAATGAGATCATACAGTATTTGTCTTTCCGACTTATTTCACTTAGCATAATGCCCTCAACATTCATCCATGTTGCTGCAAATGGCAGAATTTCCTTCTTTTTTATAGCTTATTAATATTCCACTGTATATATATATACCACATCTTCTTTATCCATTCATCCATCAACTGACACTTAGGTTGTTTCCACATCTTGGCTATTGTGAATAACGTTGCAATGAACATGGGAGTGCAGATATCTCTTCAAGATAGTGATTTCATTTCCTCTGGCTATATACCCAGAAGTGGGATTGCTAGATTGTATAATAGTTCAATTTTTAATTTTTTGAGGAACCTCCATACTGTACTCCATAGTGGCTGTACCAATGTACATTCCTACCAATAGTGCACAAGGGTTCCCTTTTCTCCACAGCCTTGGCAGCACTTGTTATCTCTTGGTTTTTTGACAATAGCCATTCTTACAGTGTGAGATGATATTTCATTGGGATTTTGATTTGCCTTTCCCTGATGATTAGTGACGTTGAGCACCTTTTTATGTATCTGTTGGCCATTTGGATGTCTCCTTTGGAAAAATGTCTATTCAGGTCCTTTGCCCATTATTTAATCAGATTATTTGGGGTTTTTTGCTGTTGAGTTGTATGAGTTCCTTACATATTTGGGGTATTAACCCTTTATCAGATATATGGTTTGCCAATATTTTCTCCCATTCTGTAGGTTGCCTTATTCATTTTGTTGATGGTTTCATTTGCTGTGCAGAAGATTTTTAGTTTGATGTAGCCCCATTTGTTTATTTTTGCTTTTGTTGCTTGTGTTTTTGGTGTCATATACAAAAAGCCATTGCCAAGACCAATGATAAGGGGCTTTATCCCTATGTTTTGTTCCGGGAGGTTCATGGTTGCAGGTCTTAACATTTAAGTCTTTAATCCATTTTTAGTTAATTTTTGTGAGTGGTGTAAGATAGGGGTTCACTTTCATTCTTTTGCATGTGGCTGTCAGTTTTCCTAACACCATTTATTTCCCCACTGAGTATTCTTGGCTCCTTCTTCAAATATTAGTTGACCATGTATGCATGGGTTTATTTCTGGGCTCTCCATTCTGTTCCGTTGGTCTATGTGTCTGTACCATACTGTTCTGATTACTATAGCTTTGTAATATAGTTTGAAATCAGGAAGTGTGATGTCTCCAGCTTTGCTCTTCTTTTACAAGATTGCTTTGGCTAGTCAGAGTCTTTTGTGGTTCCATACGAATTTTAAGATTGTTTTTTCTGTTTCTGTGAAAAATGCCATTGGAAATTTGATAGGGATTGCACTGATTCTATAGATGGCTTTGAGTAGTATGGACGTTTTAACAATATTAATTCTTCCCACCTATGAACATGGAATATCTTTCCATTTATTTGTGTCGTCTTTGATCTCTTTCATCAGTGTCTCTCAGTCTTCAGTGTACAGATCTTTCACCTCCTTGGTTAAATTTATTCCTAAGTATTCTATTTTTTTTGATGTTATTGTAAATGGGATTGTTTTCTTTATTTCTTTTTCAGATATTTAATTGTTAGTATATAGAAATGCAGCTGACTTTTTTATGTTGATTTTGTATCCTTCAACTTTACCAAATTTGTTTATTAGTTCTAAGAGTTTTTCGGTGGAGTCCTAGAGTTTTGTGTATATAGGATCATGTTACCTGCAAACAAAGACAATTTAACATCTTCCTTTTCAATTTAGATGGCTTTTATTTCCTTTTCTTGCCTAATTGCTCTGGCTAGGACTTCCAATACTATGTTCAATAGGAATGATAAGAGTGGACACCCTTATCTTGTTCCTGACCTCAGAGGACAAGATTTCAACCTTTCACCATTGAGTATAATGTTAGCTGTGGGTTTGTCATGTCTGGCTTCTATTATGTTGAGGTATGTTCCTTCTATACCCAATTTGTTGGGAGTCTTTATCATGAGATGGGTGTTGAATTTTGTCACTTTTTTTGCATCTATTGAGAGGATCATATGATTTTTATCCTTCATTCTATTAATGTGTTGTGTCATGTTTATTGATTTGCATATCTTGAACCACCCCTGCATCCCAGGGGTAAATCCCACTTGATCATGGTATATGATCCTTTTAATGTGCTGTTGAATTCAGTTTGCTAGTATTTTTTTGAGAATTTTTGCATCAATAGTCATCAGGGATATTGGCCTGTACTTTTCTTTTCTTGTAGCATCCGTATCTGGCTTTGGTATCAAGACAATGCTGGCCTTGTTAAAGTGAGTTTGGGAGTGTTGTCTCCTCTTTAAGTTTTTGGAAGAGTTTAAGAAGGAGAGGCATCAATTCTTCTTTGAACGTTTGGTAGAATTCACCAGTGAAATCATCTGGTCATGGGCTTTTCTTTGTTGGGACTTTTTTTATTACCAGTTCAATCTCCTTAATCATTATTGGTCAGATTTTCTATTTCTTCTTGATTCCGTCTTGGTAGGTTGTATGTTTCAAGGAATTTATCCATTAGGTTATCCATTCTAGGTTATCCAATTTATTGGCACATAATTGTTCATAGTGGCCTCTTAAGATTATTTGTATTTCCAGGGTATCAATTACAATGTCTCCTTTTTCATTTATAATTTTGAGTCCTCTCTTTTTTCTTGGTTAGTCTAACTAAAATTTTGTCAATTTTGTTTATCTTTTCAAAAAACCAACTCAATTTCATTGATTTTTTTCTATTGTCTTTCTAGTCTCTATTTCATTTATCTCTGATCTAATTTTTATTATTTCCTACCTTCTGCTAACTTTGGGCTTAGTTTTTCCTTCTTTTTTCTAATTCCTTGAAGTGTAAAGTTAGGTTGTTTATTTCAAGTCTTAAATCAGACCAAGGACACAGCCATACTCAAGGGAACTAAATAAGGAACTTCAATAGTGTCTAGGGAACATAACACAGATTCTTTAGTGACAAGAGAACCATAGCCACAGGCATGAACATCAGCACTGCCCACTGCCTAAGACAACAATGACAGAGCTTCCAGGAATTCTGGCAGGAGGCCTAATAAAAATTGAGCAGTAGGGCATAAGACAAATTTAATTTAACTTGGTTTTTAATGCCAAAGACTAGGCCCTGCAGAAAGGAGAAAGGAGGAAATGACTCTAGACTCAAATAAAACTTCTGTTTAAAAGTAGTTCAGGGCCGGCCCCGTGGCTTAGTGGTTAAGTGCGCACGCTCCACTACTGGCAGCCCAGGGTTCGGATCCCGGGCGCGCACCGACACACCGCTTCTCCAGGCATGCTGAGGCCACATCTCACATACAGCAACTAGAAGGATGTGCAACTATGACATACAACTATCTACTGGGGCTTTGGGGGAAAAAAAAAAGGAGGA